TGGGAACGTTGCTGCCATGTTGCCAAAAATGAGCAGAGCCCTCCATGGCAGAGCCGATGTGCCCAACTGTCCCACAGGAATGCAGGAGACAAAACACAGAACCGCTTCCCTGCTCTGTGACCCAGAGGGACAATTCCAGCTCTGCTGCCTGGGCAGTAGCAGTGGCACCTGCTGCCCTGCGGGGCAGTGCCTGGGCACAGCTGGGCAGGTCTGTGGTGACAGCCTGTATTGGCACTGCAGATGTCACCAACCAGAACAGGAACAGCCAAGTACCGAGAGTTCTCTTAGTCCCCACTTGAAATTGGGGTGGGGGAGAAGCAGGGGGGCAGGGAACGGCTGTTATTTGCTCATGTGTTTTCCGAAGCATCACACCATTGCTCTAAATAGCTCCAGTGGAATGAAATATAAACAGAGAGTTTTAGAAGGAAGCCCCAAGATCACTGGATCTATTAGATGAAAAAGTGGAAAGGCAGAGGAAACAAATTACAAGCCATATTTTAAGTATGACAAAACCTGGCCTACTGAACGAACGATTAATTAAGTTGAAATCTGAACAGATCAGCGCGTACAAAGTCTTTGTTTTATAGCTATGCTGTCATTCAACAATACGATTTGCTAGAATCGGCGGATGAAAGGTGTTGTAAAGCAACTTAAATTACATACAGACAAGTATGTCATCACAGTTACCCCTTTTAGCTTCGAGATGTCTCCATTTGTGCCTGTGTGTGTGACATCCTACGACAATGTCTAAGAAACAGACAGCAAAGACGTACAAGCGCAGAGACGCGCTGTGTCGCTGGCTCTGTGCAGCATTTCCGAAAGGGCGGCAGCAGTTCAAAAGACTGAGCCAGGAAATCACCTAAAGGCATCTCCGTTGTTCACCAGTGTCCCAGTTTTCATCCTCTAAGTTGCACTCTTAGCGTCTGCAGCAGCTGGAGTCTATTCTTTTCATTTCTAAAGGTTACCAGTACAGCAATGTGCCTGTGTCTGTGCGTCAGAGCTGTCATTTCAAGCCATCTGCAACATGCTGCCGCTTAGTTAAATGTTAACTTCTTCGCTTCTCCAAACATGCAAGAAAGGAGATCCTGAAACATTATGTAGAGCTTTGTAAGGTCCCCTTCTTTCCACAGAGACGTGTAAAATCATCTGAGGAAAATGCTGTAGAAGTCAATTAATTTCAGTTGCAGATCCTGAGTGTCCAGTATTTGTAACACTATTTGTTTTAGCTACTTTTTTTTTTTCTCTTTCTCTTTAGCGGCGCACTGGAAGCTTATGTCCAATCAGTCAGAACAAGAGAGGGAAAGGAGTTTGCACCTGTCTATCCCATAATGATTCAGCTGCTGCAGAAAGCGATGGCGACCCTGCAGTGAACGTATGTAGGCAACTCTCTTGAAATAGGGGCCAGTCAGTGACAGCATCACAGCTCCTTGGTGCCGCATCCTGAGATACTTACTGTGGACGTATATTATTCCCAAATACGTAAGCTTTACAGCGAAATGTGTTTACTTCATCTGTGAGACTCCTGTTGTCTCGCTTTACGTTTGCATTACAGAAACTCATTTATACACAACACTCATAAGGAAATAATACAATTTTTGTGTGCTTAAGTCTACAGCTAATAAAAATGTATCATTCTTCAGCATTCCTTTTGAATTTAGAAAGGCGTAAAATTAGACCACACTCTTAATATTGCAGTGTAATTGCGGACCGTCTCAAATAACGAAGTAGCTCTTTTCCTAGAAGTACAGTTTTAAACAGTTGGATACATTTTAGCCTTATTCAGATAATCGTCCTTTTGAAATGCTAGAATCATCAGTTTCCATCTAAAAATCACTAATTTTAACACAAGGAAAAATATTATTTATAAATAACATAAATGATCTCTATTGCACTGCTATTCGCGCTGAAGTAATTTATATTGATTTCAACTCTCTTTTTCACTTAAACCGCAATAAAGAACATTGACTACCCAATCCTGAATTCAGTATTTGAAATTCTTCAGCAGCTGCTCAAGTGCAAAGCAGCAAAATACACTTTGCATGGGAGTCATGAAAAGACTTCCGTACAGAAGAGGCTCACCTCTGCAGGGTCGACAATGGTCAGTCAGTCTGCTGGACTGTATGAAATACACAACACCGAGTTTTAATGAATTTATTTGAAATAATATACAAGAATATAGTGTGCAAAAATCTTAGGGGCAACATCACGTAGACGTGTCAAACTGAAATTTACAGTTGTGATTCTTAAAAAAAACCCCAAACACACAGCTGTTTAGTACATGAAAAGCCATGACTGTGGAAGTTCACAGCAGAAGCAATTGTAACCCTAATGCAGCTGGTCTAATTTGAGACAGTTGGAGGAAAAAAAAAAAGTAAAGTGCAAGTGTTGCACGTATAGTTAAGTGCAAAGTTTGCCCCCACCATAAAGATGTCTTATGGCAAAATAAAATATTGTAGAATATGTGGCAAAGACAAAACACAGAGTTAGAACTATGATGGTGACGATATCGACAGCACCATTTTTTCTTGAGATAATGCTATTTATTAGTTTCATCCTGTCCCGGGCCATTGTTTCGACCAGAAATAACAGCTCTCACATGCGCCGGCTGGTGCAAAAAACATCTCCCTTGTGCCTACAAATGGCATACATGGCAACCCAAGCAGCAACTCCCGTGCTACGTTACACTACGCTCGCCCTCCACCACGTCCCGGGAACTTGCTGGCGTCCGGGCAGGCCGGGAAGCTCGAGGCTCATAATACGTTTTGCTGTTTCAGAAAATCCCAGGCCCCAGCATCGTAATCAATAATATGGTTGTGCAATACATATTAATCAGCAATAAGAATCAAGGTATATAAACAGCTGTTACGTATTTTAAAATTCCCCTTTTTGTACATTTTTCTTTTAAAAATAAACATTTATACACGTCTCCTTCGCCTCTTTCTAAAGTACTTTAGCACCACAGGATATCCATTTTCAAGCCTATATTACCTGATACATATATGAAGTTTGGAAGAAAAAATAAGGCAATTTGGTTTACAATGTTGATAGTTTTAGCTTACTTATGTTCTATTGTAAAAAGCAAATCTGTACTCATATTAGATCATTTCCAACTTGGCGGTGCCAGTATTTTATGGTCACACAAAGTCACAACAAAAAGTAAGACCTTGATCTTGCATCTTCTTGCCATCAAAGCAACAGCCATTTGGTAAATACAGAGTTAACAGGAAAATTCTGGCTTAATGCTGTTGTGAGCCCTGAGAAAAGGGAAGAGAAGAGAAGAGAAGAGAAGAGAAAACCAGTTATTTCCTCATCAAGCAGAGGGGAACTGGACAAAATCTTAAATCTAGCAAACACTTGTTTCGAAAGCCACAAGTACTTGTAATCATTGGGCAGTTACTCAGAAGAGAACGAAAGGCTGGAACAGGTGACTTTATCCCCTGATCATCAAAAGACCACCAAGAAGAGTTCATTGTCGCAGCCTGGAGACCACCATCATTACTTGCTAAAGTAACCAAGCTGCCAACAAAATTCTTAGTTCACTGATATAAAACAATTAAAAAAGGTATCTCATGCCGTGACACAGAGGTAGCAGGTTCTACAGATACTGGTGTCTTGGCCTGAAGACCCTAAGGAAACGGACTACGGGGCTGGGTAAGAAAGGCAGCGCTCTTACCAAGGCCAACCCATCCCTGTGCCTCTCACTTCTACAGAAACATCCCCACTGAGTTCACTGAAGCTCACACGTGACATGACCTTGACCTCAGCATCCAACGCTCAAGACTGCAGCAGTGTAGAAGCAGAATAAATAAATAGTAGTATTTTAACTAAACCCACAAGGAGACCTAACAGAAGCTGTCACTGTTGATTAGAACAGAATACAGTGAACAGAAGAACAGCTTGTTCCCAGCAGCTGGGATTTGGTGAAACCTTCTGCAACAAGGGATGAAAGCTCAGCACCGGGCATGTACAGCAATAGGCAGCAACTTCAGTGTTGGAGCATTTCTTATTCAGTCTTAAGGCAACACTTGCATATACTCTTGAGAAAGTAGCCTCATTTACACATGAAAGGAAAGGGGGTAATTGGAGAATGAAATCTTAAACCTGTGAAGTCCAGAGCACACTTGATGTTCCTACCCAGGCATAAAACTGCTGATGCAAGGATCTGGCAGCACTCTGTGCACCTCAGTGGATCTTTCCTTCCAACCTACTCTTCTGGTTCAACATGTACATTGGCAAAATCTCCTTTTTTTGATGTTCTCTTTATAGGATGTGTTAGCTAGAAAGCCCTTATCTTACCTAATACATACACCACGTACTAATTCATTGCTGCAGACTCTAAATTAATGGCCTTCTACAAAGCGGAAACCCATTTGTTTATTTAACAGTTAAAAGAGTAATAAGTGAAACAGATTAACAGAAAAAAAATTAATTTCCCCACTCAATAACTTCATATATGCTGGTATAAACTAGTAGTAAAAAGATAGAAAACAGTAAAGAAAATGCTTTTACTGAAGAAAAAGGAGAATGACAACAGAGAAAGATTTTGTGAAAGTTGAGGGGAATGGACAGATGTAACCGAGGTACCACCTTATAAATTCAGTTACTTCAAACAAAAGGTCGCGTGCCCTTCCTCTGCATCTCACAAGCACACTCACTTCCCCTCCAACAGAGCTGACAGACCTCTCATAAAATATTCGGAGACAGACCCTCTCCTGATCTGTCTCCTGCCAACTGCCCAAAAGCGGCTTTCACAACACAGGGGTGTAAAATGAAGGTTTGGGCTACCCAGAAAGGAGGCGGCAGCAGTTTATCCTGAACAAAACCCACTGCAGCTGCCACATGAACACATTTATCTGCATAATGAAAAAGTCTGTGTCACGAACTTACAGAATTTGTTCGCTTTCGTTTCCAACAGTCAGGATTTAAACGTTTCTGTTCTTCCGCCAAGGCCTTGGCTTCTAGTGTGTACATCCGTCTTTCTTCATTTTTCATTTTCTTCCACCTGTCACCGAGTATCACACTTATGGCTCTGCAAGATAAATGTTTACAGTATGGTCAGGACAGGGTGTGAAGAAATGCCCTTATTTTTTTCTTTTTTAGCTCAGCATTTCAACGAAGACAGAAGTTAAATGTGAAAATATTACACCCAGAAGAATTCAATCGCATCTTTAAAAAAAAAAATTTTAAACAATCATGTTTCTGATTATCTTCTCATACTTCTTGTAACAGCTAAAGAGCCGAGACTTCTGTGTTGGCTGAGCACGGGTCAGTGCACATTCTAACATTTCAAAGAGCGTACATTTGAATACACAGCAACTCACAGAAACCAGCAAAATCGGGATGTTAAAAAACCACCACCAAATGGTAACTCACATTTGTTTTGCTCTACTTTCGTACCAGAAGATCATATGACAGATTTGCTGCAAATATGTTCTCGACTAATTAGGGCAATGATCCGAGTATGACCTCAGCCAAACCAGTATTTGATTAACTGCAACTCCACCGCGTCTACTTACCAGACGCGTGCAGCTTCCTCCACCTTTAACGCACACTGGGGAGAACACGAGTGGGTGGAACATACTGGTTACGTTCCCCTGCCTATGCAAAGGAAACCCGTTTGTTCTAAAACACACCCATCATCATTTCCAGAAGCTGAATGACTTGTTTTGCCTCCTCTTTATGAACTTGATGTCTTTGGACAATATTTCCCCATATTACCACATCATGTTGCTTAGCTGCGCTCCCGAATGTTGGATCAATATTCCGTTAAAGCTTTAACTCCATCCTTTAGCTGAATGAAAACCTCTAAACAGCAGCTCTTTTATCAATGACAATTACTAAACTACTGAGTAGGGACGCTTTGGGTTCAGATGACAGAGACGAAAGTTCCACGACCAGCTTCAAGAACAAGGTGTGTACAGCCAAGTACTTTTATCATATTAAAAAGTTCACGGCTGGCACCAAAGCTGTTCATGGGCTGTAACAGAGTCAAGGAGAGTGGAGCGTCATCAGCTGTTCCCACAGCATCCAGGCAGCGATTCTGAAGGATTTTCTGCACCGTACCAAGAAAATGGAATTTAATCCTGCAAGACTCTGCAGGACCTCAGGCTTCCAGGAGCTGCAGAGCACAGCAAGAACCCCAGCGGGGGTGCTGCCAGTCAGCCCCTGCTGTCACCTGCTCGGGTGGCTCCTCAGAGCAAACTCCTCAAGCCGCAATCAGATCCCATCAAGATCAAATCCATTTGCACAGCCTGTCTCTCTGGCAGTGGAATTCCTGGGTTTCTACACAACTTAAGAACCAGTGTCTTTGGTCTGTCACCAGAAGTAAAAACACTCCAGTTTCATTATAAGATTTTTCATGTTTTGGCAGTATCCAGGGGCAAATCAGCAGCACCAGAAACCTGTCTGGTTTTGGTCACCAGTTTATACTGGGTCACTCATGGCCCCAGGAAAGAACCCAGTGACCGAGAGAGAGCACGTCTGCTAAAAAGCCATTGCATTTCCAAATGCACTACGAAATCTTCCTACTTCACATGCAAAAATATGTATGTCTTTTATACCTCCAGAGAAAAAAACTGCGCTGAGGCACTGGAAGTGAGCACAGATCCGTACATCTCAAAAAGCTTGAAAAATCTAATGCAGAAACAAAAGACATTTCTCCAAGGAAACAGTTCTAGCAGTGAACCACTGAGACTGAAAAAAGACGTGTACAGAGAAATTTCCTGACATAACGGAGACCTCGTTCTCCTGATCAGAAACAAGTAAGAAAAAACTGACTCTACTGCACCACTCCCGTAGGTGCCCTTCACCTCACCAGAACTCCGCGGTGCTCCACACACTGCCTTGGTCCTCTAAAAATGCTGGTAAGATACCTGACAGCATTTCAGCAACAGCCTCACATGCAGGATGCAATGCCTTATACTGCAGTTCAACAGAAATGGTCAAACAGTAGTTGAGAATGCTTCAAGTTTACTCAGTAGTTATGTTCAGCACGAACAAACGCTGTTACTCGTTTTGATGGCTTTCTTCATCAGAACGTGTACTACTCAAATCACTCAGGTGTTTCTGAATGCACAGTCAAGTCCAACTACTGTGAAAATATCTAGAGAAGAAGCAAGTGCTACCCTAAGATGTGCTTCTCAAGCAGCATCTTATGCCCTGAGGTATTTTTAAGTATCACTTGAATGTTCACCTGTGTTCTGGTTGTTTACAGCTTGCTATCTTGTTGACATGGCTTAAGCTACTTTGTCTCAGAACTGACCTTGAACCCAGAATACCTCAAGTTCTGCCCCTTTACATGCGTAAGAGAAGTAAAATAACTGTGGCAAACCGAACTCTAGTGTACAGAAATAGGTACTACATGTAACCAGTCATAAGATCTCCTCAGTAGAATCAGCATTTTAAATTAAATATAACTGTCATAAAATTTCCTAGCTGACATTCTGTCACACAACTCTTCCTGCAAGTCTCAGCAGATCGCTGAATGCCTTTAAGACAAGCAAAATATGCAATTTATTGTTGTAAGATCTTTCCGATATCCTAACGATCAGTACTCCATTATTCAGTACAATACACACCAAGAAGAAATGACAGTAAATTCCCTCAACAATTGGCAATATTATGTCAAGACTTAATCAGAAGAACCAGAAATTCCCTTTTCTCATTACAAGCACAAAGCCTGGTACTTTTTTCCTCATAAACATTTCTCACCAGTGTAAACAAAGACTGTTGTGCACTGTGCACAAATATATGTGTCCGTTATTTTACCCAACTGCTTTCTTTGAAGGTAAGTTTGCCAAAAATAGCTTGTGCCAAATTTAGTGAGTAATGCAAATATTTAATGTCATCCCATAGATTAAGCCTTGTGTCAGCATCTTTCAAAACTTGTTCTTAAAACAACACACACACACACACACACACATTATTTCAAATGCAAAATTTAGTCCACTTAGATTTAGCTGTGGCCCACAGATGTTCTGCCAGCCCACCCATAACAACAAAACTACAGTTTTATCCCATTACCTGTTGTCCTTCCCTGGATACATCTGAGTATACTCAACTCTGTATTTTTTGGCAAAAAGCATGAAGGCATTCATTGGTCTTTTGCACTTGTTTGGAGAAGTGGCACTCACAGTACTTGCAGTCCCTGAGCTGTGGCTTTTGCCAGCTTTGCTGTACAAAGAACCGGAGGAAAGCTGCGATGGTGCAGCAGACGCACAGTTTTTACTGTTGCACTCAGATCTCTCAGCATCTTGATTGTTTGAGCCTCCGCAAGACAGAGAAGCGCGACGCTGGCGAGCCATGCTGCTGAGCACATACACGGCAGAGGAATCCATTGGCGTAAAATCGTAACTACAAGAAAAAAGACATATTATGAATCAATCGAGTAATCTTCATGTAAAATCCCTAAATAACTTAATCTCTACTACACTTCTAGTACTCTAGCCTCTTTTATGTAATGGAATGATTTGTGCTTGATGCAGATGTCAGTGTGGAAAAAAACCCAAATCTGAAACTTTGGCAGATGAATTAATAGTTTTTTCAATGTGACGGCAACTTTGCAAGATGTGCTTTGTGCTACCAGTCCCTCAGCTGTACAGCAATGAATTAGATACTGTTTTCAAATTTCATCCTTTCGAAACAAGCTGCTTCTGTCCTTACCATAAATCAAATCTGGTCAGAGAATGAAAGGTACTGAAAAGGACAACTGATGTGGGAAGAATAAGTATTGAGTTCACTTGCAAATACACAGTAATTACAAATATGAAACCACTATATTAAATTAAATTATACTGTATACACTACTGTACATATAACTTCTATAGGCATATTACTTTATAGCCATATTACTTTATACACAAACCTTCCACTGAGATGAAAAACTGGTTTGAAGACCAGTGATACTGCAGCCTACTTGATTCAAAGCTGACAAACGTCTGCCCTCTAGTGACAAAAATGTGACATCCCTCGATATTTTCAAGGCATTTCAACAGCTTGAGCTGTTTCCACACAGTTTAGACTTCCAAATATTATAAACTGTTGTAATTTTCTGTTGACCCAACAACTACAATTAACCTCTAGCCACTACAGAAGAAGTTTAATTCTACAGACTGGTTTTTTATCATCTCCAGGTGTGCACATATAAGTCTGGGAATTGTCTTTAGCATGGTGTATGGGTGAAACACACTTGTAAATGCACTACTCCATCAGAAATCTAAACCACTAGGTCACCACCACAAAATAAATAGAAAATATATATAACTCTAAGGTTCTGCTCACCCACTGCTCAATATGGCAAATAGTTTATCACAAAAATAAGGGCTTTGAAGAGCTTTTCTTCAAATACAAACCAGAACTACTAGCAAGGGAATGCTGCGAGTGGTAGCCCAGCCCTGCTCTGCAAAGATAAGTGCCGTGCTGTGGGTCCCAACCAAAAGCAAGGGTGGAGCCTGAAGGGTTTTTCTCCAAAATCTTGCAGAAATGTAAAAAGCAAAAAAGAAGGGACAAAGCCGACAACCTTGCAGGCACGTTCTCAAGACAATGACACAGGACGTCTCTGTTCTACAAACAATCCAGCAGCCTTCCTAGTCATAATCCCCTTTCCATAACAGAGCAGCAGGACTTTTGTTTTTTAATTCTTCTGTCCTGTTAACCACAGCTGCTGCTGCTGCTTCTCAGTGATTTACTCCTTTCTGCCCAGAGCGAGCCAAGAAATCTGAAGCGTCAAGGCAGTATTCTGCTGGGCTACAAAAAAAACAGAGCCACAAGCCCAATTTCTTTAGCGAGATTTAAATGTAATGATTCTAAGAGCTGTCTACATACGCAGTTCAGAACAGGAGTTAAGAAGAAGAAAAGAAAACAGATAGTAAATGAGTGACGATAACTCCCTCTCTATGCCAGCCTGTACAAAAGCTCCTAGGGCTTAAACTGCAAACAGCATTTTAAATTCACTTTTTCTACTGTAAAAAAACCAAAAAGCAACTGGACTTACAAGAGAAGCTAAAAAGGAGGTAACATCATAGGAGAAGATGGATTCTACTAAACTTAGAAATCTCAAAATAGCATGGAGAAATCTTTATGGGTAGTACTGTTTCCTTAGAATCTCAGAAGAACAGGACTCCTGAAGGTTATCTGGTTGAACGTCTTGCTCAAAGCAAGGCAAACCTCAAAATTAAGCAAACTCTGAAATTAAGTAAGTTTGATACTCTAGAAAAGAATCACAAAAAGCAGAATATATGTAAAAAATATGAAAGTAGTGTATTCTAAGGCCAGAGCACATGCATTTGGTACGAAGAAACTACTCGGGTAATTCAGACAGACAGCTGTTTATGAAGCCCAAGTTCACAGCTCGCAAGAACACACTACTGCAGGGAAACTGTACGAGGATTTTCAAACATATCCCACTTTGCCTGAAAAATTTATACATACACTGTTTTATCTTTAAACTATCATAAAAAGGGACTGAAAAGTTATTGCACTCCAAGGTATTACTTTGCAGTTTAGCAGAGCACAGGATTACACAGCTTTTCTAGTATTCAGTCTTCCACTTTATGAAGCGCAAGTTCACAGCTCGCAGGCACACACTACTGCAGGGAAACTGTACGAGGATCTTCAAACATCCCACTTTTTTCAAACATCCCACTTTGCCTGAAAAATTTATACATACACTGTTTTATCTTTAAACTATCATAAAAAGGGACTGAAAAGTTATTGCACTCCAAGGTATTACTTTGCAGTTTAGCAGAGCACAGGATTACACAGCTTTTCTAGTATTCAGTCTTCCATTTTTCCCTCTCATTTATCTTGTATTACCAAAATTATCCTCTTTTTGCTCTATGCATCGTTTCAAATTCTTGTAGACTTAAGGTGCCTACTCATTAAATACAAGAACCACTGAGGCCACTTTATCCAAAAATTACCTTTTAAATGTATCAAAAACACCTGAATCATCAAAGTTAATGGCATCAGGGTGTCCAGGAGGTAGACACAGATCTCCAAGATGCATTTCACAGCATGGAATGCCATGCTGTACCACAGTCAAGCTTGGATAAAAAGATGACCAACCTGAAGTGGTAAAGAGTTAAATTAGACAAACGGCCAGACAATCTCTCTAGTTCTTAACCGGAGCAATCCTATATCTCTAAATGATATCACTTTATAAGAATGTTCCAATGTCATTTCTTTCACCCAAAAGAAAAATCAGAAACACTTACTCAGGGAATTCTTACTGCAAATAGTTTATCTCAAGTAAAATCTCATTCTAGCAAAAAAAAGTAATTGAAACATGGCAACTTTTATCATCACAAGTTCCATGCTTAGCAAGTGAGAAAAGCTTCCCTTATTTACAGCTTTCCTTTCTGCCCCCAATTTTTCTGCTTTCCTGAGCTCCATTTATAGACTTGATCAAATATTTCCTTAAGAGTTATGCAGTATTTCTGTAGCTTCATAGCTTTACAGTTTGCTCAAATTCATGATTTCTTTACAAACACAGTAAACTGATTCTACAACACTGCTTTTATCAACTTCCTGAGCAACATGGGATGCCAATAAAATCTGCAACCACTTCCTAAGAATATTTTACTATGCAACCAAATGTAGTATTTCATACCTTTATTTTTAACATAAAAAGGATGATCGAGCCTGCATTCCACTGTAAGCAAACCATCTTCCACTGTGCCAGGATCAAAAGTCAGCTTCAGCACTGACTCACCAAAGGAAATGCTTTCTTCATGAGAAATCAACTTCAAACCATCAGAACCATAGCCCTGTAAATATACACACAGTTCAAAATTTTTCCCCCTAGAAAAGCATACACCTGTGTATACTACAGGCACATATCCATTCAGATGAAGCAATAATAACATTGTAAGTGTTCTTGTTACCAATTAATAATGACGATATAACATTCAAAACATCCCTAAATTAATTCTGTGCAATTGCTTTACAGCAAGATACTCAAATAGTACAGTGATCGCCTCTAGACAAATTCAGTATAAACTCAGTATAAACTTGCCTTCCTGAAACAGTAATTGAAGGCACAGGGATAACCTAAGAAGCTAAATATTTGCTACAGGAACTGAAATGAATTCATTACAAGTAACAGCTACCTTGTAAGGACTCACTGTGAGATTTTCCTCCTTTCCACTGCTTTCAGATCTTGCAAAATCTTCAACATCCTGCCATTCTTTGTTGCGTCCTTTATGAAAGCACAAACGAGAGCCTGATAGATATTTTTCAAATAAAAGAAGAAAATAAGATTAGTGTTATGTAAAGAAGCCTATTACAAAAACAAAACCAAAAAAACAAGAAAAACCAAGTAATTATTCAATTATACATGTTATTTTACCTTTTAGAAAACAATGCCAAACAGTCGAGGGCCAGGAATGGCACCATCCTAAATCATCATCATCTGAAAGTGATGACATGCAGAAAATGCCAGATTCTGATTCACTATTCGCCTATTAAAAAAAGCAAACTGGTGTTCATATTTTGCTGCGGAAGATTTCAAGGCTGGTCTTCTATGCCTTTAGACACGTTTTCATAATTTGCACCTGTGTCACCATTTTGCCTTACATACTAATAGGAATGTAACAGGAAGACAAAGATACAAGGAATGCAGTAAATATCAATTGGGTATTTTCATCTCCTTTCACTGGAATGCACCATTCTGATATTTTTGGATTTTGTCCTCCGAGATTCGTTTCACACCTACAGATTACGTTATGCCCAGGTACAAGCATTTTACAAGCTATCACTCCTTGCTCATCCACAGAACCACTCAAAGCACGGGTTACTCTCTGGTCAATTTACTGGAAAGCTGGAGGGCCAGGTCGGTTCTAGATAAATCACTGGAAGAAACTCAGTGTCTTTAACAGACAAGTTTCAGGCATAAATTAACACACAGGTAAGGGAGAAGCAGGACTGACAGGTTTTGTGTGTCTGAAAGGAGATGGCTCCATATTTCCTTTCCAAGGCAGCAAACAAGTTAATTCAGTTTTTTAAAGCTTGCTATAGAAAGAAGCAGAAGAGAAGCAGAGCTTTCTTACAGTATCGTCTCTTCACAAAAATGGGGACTCCGTGACGTAGCACTACAAGCCTGCTGTGTTTGGTAAAAAGTAACAGCAAATCTAGCATAAATCGGAATAGTTTTAGAACTAAACAGACCATTTTTTTTTAAACTAGCTTCTCTTTTCAAAAAGCTTAATCCATTACTCATGCATCTTTATTTTAGAAATGTTTCAGAACAACTCACCCTTTCATGTCTGACTGGTGTTTCATCCAAATCATTCTTGGAGAAGTTAGGATCACTCTTTGAGGATCCTGGTGGTGGACGTGCATAGGAATGTAAACTTTTGCTTGTAGCTATTATGTGAACAGGAGATGATCTAGAACAGAAAAACCTGTTTTAAAATATCTCAGATTAAGACAACACAAGACTTAGCCACCATTACTCTAAAATGCTTTTATTTAACAAATATTTCTGTTTGCATGAGCTGAATACCAAACAGATTTCTACACAGCAATATTCAAACTGGATGATTAAAGGGTGCACGCTCAGGCAAGGGGAGTATTTAGCGTAACTCCCGCACAGCTTCCACATACCACCCAAATGACAGCACTACCTCCACAGCAGCATCTCCTTGTCACAATGCTGAAGTTTTCACAAACATCTTGAAGTGAGTACCCCACTTTTAGAGCACATAAGGACATCTCTTTCCTAATCACTAAATCCCAACTGCATTACTGTTAATATTAATGCATTTAATTTTCTTCTTATAAACCTAAGACCAAAAGCTGTACAATAAAAGGTGAAAAAATTTCTAAGACCCCACACTGGTTCTCACAGCCTTAGGGAATTTACAGATCGCAAATCTGATACAGTGTCAATAAAACCACATTGCATTAGATTTCCAATTAGGTCTTTTAAAAAAAAGACCTAGTCAGCATAAAAAATTTAACATAACAAATTCATCATTTTTCATCTCCTGCTTCACATGACATGAATGCCCATAATTCCAGAGCAATTCCTGGCAATGTCCTTATACCAACCTACCTCACTCATGGCTGGCAATTAAGCAGCTTTTGCACAGGCTCTGAAATGAATCCTGTGCAATATTCCACAGAAGAATAAAGTTACTACATAGAAAGATCATAGAAAGATCAAAAATAGGACTCCAGTTCAAAGTCAGAGGGTGAGCAGTGAAGGAAATGCTTCTGGAGACACAATGTTAGAATTCTTAAAGAGTTCAAAATTGAAATGAACGTCAGTACCTGTTATAAAAAGAGCACTGCATCAAAGGACTCTGGGGACTTGTGGCTATATTCGCTAATTCTGTCAACCAGTTCACCTCACTCTCACAAGAATAAGCACTTTCTGAATTGCTGTTTGAGGTATGTTGGTTCCATGAAGGCCTTGAACATTCCTGATGTGAAACATCAGCACCAAGCTGAAAAACTGCAGGTGGGGTAGAATCTGTCTGCACAGCCTGTAGTTCAGGAAGATCATCTGAAAAACAAGTGCACAAATTAGCACAGTTACAACCTTTGATAAATTCTAGCTGACACTAAATCTTGCAAATAAGAAGCAACTACAATGAAGTAACTAGTTCTATTTTCTTGTATCACAATTACCAATATTTCACAAGCCCTATTCATAATACTGACAAAAGGACCACAGAAAGAATGGCATCTCTGGTCTATTACATGTTCATACAAGCAATTTAAGAAAAGCATTATGTTACAAAATAAAAATGTAGTTCTGGTTTTAAAGTTTTACTAGAGTGACTAGTTTACACAGAACTGTACTGCAGAATTATGCAAAAGTAGCAACATGCTTCACTAAGAGACTAAAATATTCAACAAAATCCATCCATCCTAGCAGGTGTGACACTAAAAATTATCAACGTTGGAGCTGTACAAGTTAAAAGTTCTAAATGTTTCCACCAGGGGATTGTAATTAGTAACTCAGAAGTCATGAAAGCTGCGTATACAGCCTGGCAGGAGTGAATTCCATCAATAATCTACACATTTCACATGTTATATAAAGAACAGCATGAGAGCCCAGCTTGCTAAAAGAAGTCTGTGTTATATCCTCCCACATAACTATCATTATTCTTAATCACTCCATGACTTCAATTAAACATTTCAATATCTCATTGACTGTATCAGTACTTTCTAATGTGCACACTATTTTTTCCAATATATATGAGCTGAAGCTAAATGTTCCCCTAGCCCAGAATCTCTTATTTGCAGCTGATCTAAAGCAGCGTATTTTTCCCTTTAGGAGGAGCTCTTGAGCTTTCTGTTTGTTATTCTTGTGCCAAGAAAAACTCCTCTGGAGATTAGGGGCAGAAATTTGTAGCCAAGTTCAAGAACACATTTAAGTCAACAGGCCAGTGTGTCAGAACTGGAAATGGGTTAAAGGGAAAACTGACTGCAAAATAAGAGACTCAGATGTCCCAATTCACAGTCATATTTGCTGCCCTACTTTAGATAAAAATAAGTTAACTCATTCAGTCAGCTTCCAGTGATTTCACTACAGGAAAACTACGGCAAACTTCAGAATTTGGCTTCTTCTGAACAAGTCAATTTACCAAGTTCCATGTGTTCATCACAGGACGCGTATCCAGGAGAAGAGGGCAGGTTTTCATTACACTTCAGCAACTCCAGTGACTCGTTCATCCCTGAAGCTCTCTTGTCCACTACCAGAAGGAGTTTCTGAACTGCATTAGGCATTTGATTTGTCTTCACTTCCCACACCATGTTAGGATGCTCCAAAGTATCTGACTTTAAAGAGACAGGGGTTAAAAATGTGTAAACACATAAACCATTTTAAGCTGCACCTGACGGGTTACATTACAAAACCCTAAATCCTCCGTAGTCTCTTGAGAATCACAGCTTCATTTAGACTAAAGGGACCTCTAGAGATGACCTGGCACAATCCCCAGAGAAAGCAGAGCCAGTTCTGAAGTCAGATAAGGCTGCTCGGGGCTCTGTCCACTTGAGTTTCCAGCATCTTGCAGGACCGAGATTCCCTGACGCTTCTCAGGAACGTGTTCCAGCGAGCACTCTTGCTGTGAAGAAGCTGTTCCCATCGCACGACCTGAACCTCCCTTGCCACCGCCTGTGCCCACTGCCTCCAAGAGCGTGCGGCCATCTCCTCAACCGGCACCGAAGCCAAGGTAAACAACATTCCCTTGGTACCCTGAGCCATGCATCCCGTCACAGAAAGCAATGAGGCGAGTCAGACAAGATTTGCCTTTGGTTAATCCATCCTGGCTATTCCCAGCCACCTTCTTGCCTTTTAAGAGCCAGGGCACGGCTCTCAGGAGGATCCGCTCCACAACCTTCCTGAAGCCTGAGATTAGGCCGACCATCCTGTACCTTCCCCACACCCTCCTCCTTGAAACCAGGTGTGAGAATTTCTTTTTTTCCAGTTATCGGGAGCCCTCCCACTACCAAACCCACCACCCTTCAGAGACCATCCTCACAATGACAGCGGGCAGCTCTCCCTGACACAGCCCACCCAACTCGCACACAGAACTAACCTGCCCCTAACCTGCTCCTCCTCTACCGTAGACGAATAAACACCCGTTCCGTCGGACGCACGCTGGTAGGCCCAGGGCCTTGAGGAACCCAGAAACCAGCCTTGCAAAAAAAGACCAAAGCCTTCTGACATCAGGTCTCCTGCCGCGTGCAGCACCAGCCCTTCCCCAGGTGCCCTTTCCCCACCGGCACGTCCAGCTTGTTTCGCTGCCCTTCACATCCCTCGGCATCTCAACTCCAGGTACAGTCTCAAACACATCTGACTGCTAAGATCCTTAGCTGTGTTACGAAAGGAAGGAAAAAGAAGCCTCTGCCAGTAGCTTTCACTGCATTTTCATTTCCCCAAATCCCAGTACTGTAACATTTATCCCAAAAGCAATACTTTAAATCATCTTCAGCAGTCAGAGAGCTGCGTGATTATTCTACACCACCACTGCCTCTAAAAGCTGGAAAACAAGGTTATCCAGTCTTTAGTAATTTGGTTATCTACTGTTCTTTTCAGACAATGATGAATTAAAGCTCCCCTAACACGATTACCTTGTACTTTAATGAAGTGTCATTGAAAAAGTAATCAGGAGCCCCTCACAAAAGAGCAGAAAACACAGCTTAGTAAGAAAGAACATCTAAAAAGTCTACCACATGCACAGCCACTAAGTAAGCCATCATGCACCACATTAAATACAAACAATGGGTAACGACAGTCTCCTATTTTCACATGAAGCAGTAAGCCTATCATCCAAAAAGTTCCCTTAGTGCAATACATAAAAAGCCATCCGATAACAATTATGAAAAACTCCAGTTTCACTTTAATAAACACTTAAAAAGCATTATGTGTATACAGCCACGACTAACAATATTCCATGTTTTTATGCGTTCTATGTATTTATTTCATTTGTTTTGCAGCTTGTCCTATACATAAGATAGACACAGCCCTTTAAATTACACATACTGAATTACTACCACAAGAGGCCTGGTCCAAGCAGTAATTTTATTTTTACTGTGAAATTCCTAACCTTTTCATTTTCTAATGTCTCAAAGACACGCAAAACTTACATAAACGCACATTCCAAACATGAAAAGATGTTTGATTCTACTCAAAGAGCACCATCACAAAAGCCACAATAGTATAATTCTGATTTTAAGGAGGTGGAGAGGGAAGGTAAGAGAAATAAGAATACACAATCAAATAAACTATCAATAGCACATGTACTTCACCTCTAGGAAGCCTCTTTAATGCAAATTATTCCTCTATCACCCACAAGGCACAGTAAAATTACAGAAAACCACAAGAGCAGAAAGTTCAGTCATTTTTGAGCAGAAAAATCAGATCTTAGTAGCACAGGCCAGGACCTTGAGTATTTTCTCCAGTTAATCAACTCTGAAAAGCCACTCCTTGTTTTTCTGGCTTGTCTGCATCCTTCCTTTCCCCCCTTTCTGCCTTGTTTTTCCTTCTGTTTTTCCTCTCTTCCTTCCTGCCAGCTGCCAAGATTCAAAAGTACCTCTCCTCGTACTCCAACACGCTGAAGGTCAGAGATAAGGTACAGATACAACACGTTAACCTGATAAGATACTTCTTCCAGAAATGAACTGTTTTTCTAAGTCACAAGAATTTCTGTAAACCAAAGACACCCGTGTGCACAAGCCAAAAAATCCTTTACCAAATGAATTAAGAAGGAAAACAAAAGAAGTGCCCAACTTCTCCTTCCCCCTCCCTTTTTTTTTTTTAACTCTACTTGATTAAAGCCTGCTTTGGACATCATGTCCTTCTCTTGTCCTCGGGCTTTCAATGTTTTGGAAAGTTAAGGGGAACGGTCATTAACCAGCTTGTAAAGCTTTTTTTTTAAGTTCCAATTCATGTTCAAAACTTGCTGCAACAGCTGTTTTCTAGAAGTATGCTTCATGAGGCGGTACTGCCCTTTTCTTCGCAGGCTAAAGGTATTTATTTATGAATTTGTGCTTTAAAACAAGTCAACCTGTGACGCTAAGCAAACGGCAACCTTAACAAAGAGCTCAGTAACGAAACCACGTCTGGTTTTTGGAGGGACAGAAATAACTTCGGGGCAGGAGCAAAGGAAGCCTGTGGCTCAGAAGGGGTTCAGCGGGAACCGGGCAGCACCCACCCAAACCGCTGGAACGTCTGCGGGGAAGCGCCTCCCCTGGTTTTCCTTCTGCTATCTGCCCGCCTTCCCCCGAAGTCTGAGGCAAGGTCTGCGCCTGCCGCCACCCGCTGGATGGA